AATAGTTTGTTGTGTGGGAGTGAACTGTCAAGATGGCCACTGGTGGATCAGGTTAACTCTTGTCTCAGTATCAAGTGTTAGTGTTTGATTCACTTTATTTCACTTTACATTAGGAAGGTATACTGAATATAGAGGAGCCTTTTTATATGAGGAGAAAGGTTTAAATGAATATGTAGTAATATTTACTGTAGCTGAAGATGTATTCACACTCAGAGATGTAAGTATATTATAATGAGGTATATTGTGTACATGATGTGTATTAATGTGTTTATTTACAGTATGCTGAAAAGAAGCACCCTGGAGCTGAGAGAGGTCCACTTATCCACTTTACATTTGTCCAGCAGCAAGACTCTACACTTACATCAAGAGGTGATTATATTGAATTAAAGTTTGATACTCCACAAGATGAACCAACCACTGGATGGATTATTGAACCTGACACAGTACCTTGTAGAGTAAGTACTTGTATCATGTATATATTACATAATTAATGTGTGTGGGTGTGTATCAATAGATATATAGAAGTGATGTTGATAAGGTTGGTACACCTGGTTATCCTGACCCTCCCTCCTCCAGTATATCAGTACATGCTACACCTGATGCTGTTCCTAGACTGAAGTATACTATACCACTGGAAGGTGTAGATACATATGATACATTGTACATTAAAAGGATATTGAGAAGAGGTAAGATACCTTAAGGAGACAATTATTAGCATGTACTTATTTTAGCGATTTTCATGAACTGACATTTGGCTGGTACTTAATTTAGCGTTTTTGATCATTTGGTATTAATAACTTTTAGAAGAATTAAAGGGGCAAGCCTAAGCAAGCTATAGATTATGTGCTGTGATCTACATACATGAGCAAGCAAAGCAATTGTACAAGTCTAAATACAGTAATACAGTAGATCTTGTTGCATTAATCTTGTTTAAATTGCTTCATCACTGACTCTGTAGCCATTAACATGTAAAGTTATCTTGCTTACAGTTAGAAGCAGTCACTGAACGAAGAAGATTGTCATCTGCTTTATTAACCTAGGCTAACTGCTAGAGAAGTCTTTGGACAGCAGTTTAGTATTATCTTGCTGACCCTTTGCTGCAAATAAACTCAGACTTGTTGACGGCCGCCATTTTATTCATTGTGACCACACCTACTTTCAATTAAAAATTAAAATTAGCGCGGACTTAAGTTAGCAATTTTTTTAAAATCGCTAAAATTTACTAAATTAAATACCCGCAAACAATTGTCTCCTTAAGGTAGATGAGAGTGGGTGTGGTCTAGTGTTAATAACCACACCCATTGCACTACTCCCAATGCTGGTACTAATATAATGATATTCATACCTTCAGTAGTATAAGTATTGTATTAATAAATAATAATTTAATTGACCATTGACACATACCCTGAACCATCCTTATGATTTTAATAATTAATTTATGTTCCATTACTCCATAGGTCCTCTCTTAGACATTAATGATTTACAGTATGTACTTGAATCATTGAATGAAGCTGGCTTCTCACAGGGGGAATGGAAACCTCTTGGTCGTGCTTTAGGATTAGGTTATGATACACTGAAGGCTATTGAGGCTGAGTATCCTGGAGATGAACAAGGACGTCTTAGGCAGTGTCTAGTGAAATGGTTAGAGAGAGCTGATGCTGTTGATGTTAGAGGAGGTCCAAGAATGACCTCTCTATGTGCTGCTCTTGAGGACATTGGTGATAAAGCAGCAGCTGATTATATCAGTAAGTTATTATTATTATTATAATTTTAATACATTGTATCTATTCTTATGTGGTTTTACATGACACAAGCTTTGATAATATAATTTATGTATTGTCTTATGTGAAGTTTCTTTTTTATAT